AAGTACTGTATTGTACGTGCAAAAGCAGTTTGACTACAAAAATATTGATAAGTTGATCCCTGGACAGAATATTTCACCAACATGCTTTGTATTTCATTGTACTCCATGTGTTTTATTAGTTAAAACTACTTTTATTTACATATTAAAGTTGTGTTTTTTGATTGTAGTGTAATACAAATGACATCATATATAGTTCCTGATGAAAACCATAGTCAATCATATGATTATATAATCACAAATTTAGTAAGTTTAATTTTATCAGGTATAGATGGCAAATGAAATATTTATTTTTAAAATTACTACTGTATTATGTTATATAAACTCTGTTACAGGTAATTTTATAGTGATATTAAATTGTTTTGACTATTGTTTGAAATTTGAGATATTAAATGTAAATATGAGTGTGAAATATAACAATTATCCAATAAATCAATATTAAATATAAAAAAGTTTTCATTAAATTTATATTAAATCTATTTCTATAAATACTATTTTGCTTATACAGTATAATATTTTTATGATTTTATTTATTTATAAATAGATTAAATTCTATAACTATAAAATAAACTATTGTATTATATTTATTTACCAGCAATACAATTACATTAAAAACAAAGTTATAAATGCATTAAATATTATTCATAAATAATCAATAAAAAGTTAATTATATTCTAAAAAATATACCAAGGTTGTTATACTATATAAAAAGCACAATATTACTGTTACAGTACTACCGCTACTCTATTCAGTAAAGTTTGATGAAATAAGTCATTGAATATTATTATGAAAATATACTATTTTTCATACATTTACTCTGTAAATGCATAGCAACTCGCAAATCGGTGTCCACTATTTGATACATACAATAAGCACACGATATTAATCTTTCTATTTTCTACTTTAACCGGATCCAATTATATAATTTTTGTCTACATAATCATCCTGATTTTATTTTTAGACAGAATGTTCAGATTGCATATACATAGTATAGTATTAATGAGTGAGCTAGTGTATTTTGGTTGCGTTGGATATGTAGGTGCAACTTGGAAAACAATACTCTACATGGCTAACAGTGTGTATCATATGTGATGAATAGTTTTCATATTTAAATAGACTTTAATATTATAGATAATCGAAATGTTTGATAAATATATTATGTGCTAATAAAGCTAAATTTTGTAAATTTAAAATTCTTTCCCAATGTTAAACACATAGGATATACACTGTATATTATACAGTATATTACTGTTAATTCTAGTTGTCATTACCATAATATTGAGAGGAATATTTAAAATGTATTGAAATTTACTGTAAAATTTTGTTTTATTAAAATATTCTGTTTATACGTGTATTAATATCATATATTTGTTCAAACACAAATGTGCAAATTATGTGATAATATGCTATTTTTATGACTTGTTTATAATTTATAGGTTTAATTAGCGCATAAAAGTAGCCAAAAGTGTCAGAAGTGATGCCCGGCTATGAAAAGGAGAGATTCGTATCGATCGGTGAGTCCGAGAGGAATGAGCTCTCGTGCGGTATATGTCATGAGATACTGAAGGAACCGGTGGTCGCCAACTGTTGCCTACAGACCTTCTGCCGCGAGTGTATCACTCAATGGCTTACGAATGATAGTTCGTGTCCTTATGATAGGAAACCGATGACTAGTAATGACATGAACCCGGCGCCCAGGTATGCAGAGAGAGAGAGAGGAGAGAGAGAGAGAGAGAGAGAGTATAACAACTCTTCATAACAACAAACCATTCAATGTTAATGTTATCAAAATAAATACAGTAATATTAATATTGATTGTAATAATGGTTTATTTGAAGCCATAATTCTCTCATTTGTAAAACATTTTTAGAGAAACATTTTGATCTAATATTTCATAAAACATAAGCAAATGTATAGACAGTTTGTTATAGACGTAAACAGTGATATATCTATAACTATAATAATAGTAGAGCTGATGAATAATACGGCTCATCCGGAAAGGTGTGGAATATTTAAACGCCAAATTGGTTGGCAATATCTAAAACCGATCCCAAATTTTCTTTATTATGAAAAATTATAAACTTATAGTAAATTTGATTTTTTTTGTATATAAAACACGCCATTCTAGGGATAGGTCTCTACCTATTTATATATCAATTTTCATTTAATGCTTAATAGATGTTCATTCAGTAAATTAGTTTGATTTCAAAAATGTCTAAATTCGCCCAAATTATTAAATGATGGCTAGATTTAGAAAATTGGATGAACACTAACTTTTTCAACTCAATCACCAAATTTGACTCTTTTGTTGCCTCTAATATTGATTTCTTAATTTAGATCTTTAGTTGTGTTTTATTTTTCACTCAATACTCGATTGCATTCAAAATAATTAAATTTNTTCATCAGGAACTATATATGATGTCATTTGTATTACACTACAATCAAAAAACACAACTTTAATATGTAAATAAAAGTAGTTTTAACTAATAAAACACATGGAGTACAATGAAATACAAAGCATGTTGATGAAATACTCTGCCCAGGGACCAACTTATCAATATTTTTGTAGTCAAGCTGCTTTTGCACGTACAATACAGTACTTACCAATTGCACATGTGTTGACCAGGGGGCCGTCTTATTAATCTCAAAGTTGCTCTCATCTCAATATTTGAGAAAAATGTGTATTAAGAAAACTTTTAAACATTTGAGATTGAGAGCAATTTTTGATTAATTTGAGTGAAGAGTTGAGTGAAATATTGGTTGAAAAACAACTTTTTAAGAGAAAAGTGTTTTACAAATACTCTCAATTCAGATAATTGAGTAGATTTTTGAGTGATTGAAAATCAACACTCAATTACAACTACAAGAGACAAAACCATTTGTGACCACATTTGTCCGACAACTGACCGTGTCTTCATCAGTGTTTGGAAACGAAACCTTCGCGACAGACGTGACACATCCCTCAAGAGGCCACATGGCGTTGTTTTTATTGGCAGCCGCCGAAGACGAGCCGCAGCAACGAAGCCCACGTGTCTTCCGGGACAGAGAGAACCCACTAGAAGTGCTCTCAGACGAAGAATGTGTGCAGCGCTTTCGACTTGACCGACACGGGATTGTGTTTTTGTGTGGAATCCTAAACAATGATCTGCAAAGACCGACACACAGAACACAATCACTGCCGGTTGTAGTGCAAGTATGCGCTGCACTTCGGTTCTTCGCTCAGGGAGCCTTCTTTCGGGCCACCGGAGACACAATCGGCGTCAGTAAGGCCTCGATGTCGACTCTTGTCCACTCCGTTGCTGATGGTTTGGCCAAACGTTTCCGGGATTTCATCAAATTCCCGGAGACAGAAGAAGAAATCCGGGCAACCAAGAGAGGTTTTTATGACCTAAAACACTTTCCAAGTGTTATCGGGGCCATCGACGGCACACATGTACCGATAATAGCCCCGTCGGGCCATATCGAGCCATCGTACGTTAATCGAAAAGGGTTCCACTCTATAAACGTACAGGCAGTGGCGAACGCGTCCCTCGAGTTCACGGATGTTGTGGCCAACTATCCGGGACGAGTCCACGACTCGTTCATTTGGGCCCATTGTGGGCTCAAAGAACGATTGGACGCCAGACCCGACATTGGTTGGCTCTTAGGGGATAGTGGTTACCCACTTGAGCCACATTTGATGACACCATTGGCCACAACAACAAATGGACCACAACTGCGCTATAATATAGCGCAGATGAAGACACGTAATGTCGTTGAACGTGCCTTTGGTGTCCTCAAGATGCGGTTCCGGTGTCTTGATTGGACGGCCGGCAAACTTTTGTTTGCACCGGAGAGGGCGTGTCGGGTCATCATTGCGTGCATTGTACTCCATAATATCGCACATAAACGTCGATTTTATGGTGAACGCTTTGACGACCATCGAGTGGACACTAACGACGACACCATTGAAGACATCGAAGTCATAGCAAATGGCCAACAAAACAGAGCACAAGATATACGTGCAAACATTATAAATATTTTATAAATAAAATTAAACAATTTTGTATTTTTATTTTATTTAAATATAAAATAAATTATTTTATAAAATTAAAAATTAATTTTATTTAACTCTTCCTCTTCTTGAGACAAATCCAAGCCATTCTTTTTCATGTCTTTAAAGATGGCTTGAAGTTTGAGTTTCTTGAGTTGAGCCAATTTGATGTTCAACTCAAGCTTTTGTCTCTCAATTTCGACCATTTCTTGTGCTTGAGTTGACGTG